AATAATCTCCACGGAAATGAGATATGCCAACGCTTATACAACTGCATACCAAATATCATTGACCTACCACTAGTAGTTCCCCATAAACTGACCTAATCACAAACTAATACATGAAAACTAAGCAAAAGTTTCAAAGTCAATAGATCATGACTGAGGGGGGAGGGCCAAATAATCTCTATGGAAATGAGATATGCCAATGCTTATACAACTGCATACCAAATATCATTAACTTACCACTAGTGGTTCCCCATAAACTGACCTAATCACAAACTAATACATGTAAACTAAGCAAAGTTTCAAAGTCAATAGACCATAACTGAGGGGGCGGGGCCAAATAATCTCCATGGTAATGAGATGTGCCAATGATAATACAACTGCATACCAAATATCATTGACCTACCGCTAGTGGTTCACCATAAACTAGACCTAATCACAACCTAATACATTGTTGACGCCACCAGAGTCAATGCAGGAAACAGCATACCTATGTCTCTCTTTTTGACTCCGTCAAGGCGAGACAAAAAATGGACTAAAAGTAAAGATTAAACTTTACAAAGACAAATAAAAGTAACACTATAACATGTGATTTAGATGATAAACAACAACAGTACCTAGAATCTATACTTCAAGACCCTCATGTATTATTTGTGAAGTTGATAGGGAATATTTATCAACAATTTTCCATATAATTAATATTTCCAAGTGGCATAACTGCTTTTAAAATTGTTGATCGGCACTAATTTTGAAACTTGTCCAAGGCATTGCTGATATACACCTATGATATAAGTTTGATAATTAACTGTTAACACAGATATATGTAACCTATGATATAAGTTTGATAATTAACTGTTAACACAGAGATATGTCTTGCCTTTTTGTTATTTTGATAGTTAAATGCAAATGTTGAAATTAAAATAGCAATGCTTTTACATGTAAGTTATGCAAAATATTCAAAGTCAATGAACCATGACTGAAGGTACAGGGCCAAACAATCTCCATGGAAATGAGATGTACCAATGCTCTTACAACTGCATACCAAATATCATTGACCTACCACCAGAGGATCCCACAAACTGACCTAATCACTAACTAATACATGTAAACTAAGCAAAAGTTTCAAAGTCAATAGACCATGACTGAGGGGGCAGGGCCAAATAATCTCCATGGAAATGAGATGTGCCAGTGCTTATCCAACTGCATACCAACTATCATTGACCTACCACTAATGATTCCCCATAAACTGACCTAGTCACAAACTAATACATGTAAACTAAGCAAAAGTTTCAAAGTCAATAGACCAAGACTGAGGAGCGGGGCCAAATAATCTCCACGGAAATAAAATATGCCAATGATAATACAACTGCATACCAAATATCCTTGACCTAACACTAGTGGTTCCCGATAAACTGATTTAACGATAAACACAAACTAATACATGTAAACTAAGCAAAAGTTGCAATGTCAATAGATCATGACTGAGGGAGCTGGGCCAAATAATCCTTACAAGACGGGACAGATAAATGGACGGATGGACAGACGCCCTGCATTTCTTTGTCCCATGCAACATGTTGCGCGGGGGACAACAAGGGACTGAGCTTAACCATTCTTGCTGATTTGAAGAGAAGAGGACTATAGAATAAAGGTGTAAAAACTATGGAGTTATTAAATGTTTGCAAAGAATTAAATTTCAAAGAACTTACATTGTGAAAACAGAGATTTTTTTACCTCACAGAGTGTCATCACAAAGGGCTTTTCGGGGTACCTAAATTACGGGATATTGAATCTCACTTCCTTAACCCCAAAAATTGAACCACACATGTGAAAATGTCTCAGCTTCAAAACAAGCCATCATACATGTCCAAGTTTCAATATGGGCAGAGTTATTGAGGAGAAGGCTATCATTTCCAGCTACCTAAAATGAATTGTGCATCTTGACCCATTTAGGTGGTAGTTTCTGACAAGTAGAAAACATATAATGCATAGTTCATAAGTTGAAAATTATACAATCAAAATATATTGTTTAACCTTGGACCAATACATAAAGGCAAATATTTAGCCATTTCAAGGATCTATCATGCTGGTAATGTAGCATTAGCTATTATTTGTGTAGAACCTTGTAGAGTATGGAATTTAAAATCACGACAGTAGGACAATTTAGGATATTTCCCAATAAATAATTACAAAAGGACTTGTGATTCTTAACTGAACATCTTGGATGGAGAGTTGTCTCATTGGCACTCATACCACATCTTCTTATATCTACTATCTGTCAAATTAGTAAAATTTACTTAAATGATAACCTATGTGTCCAAGATTAATTGATTGTTCGTGTTTAGCGCCACTTTAACAATATTTCGTAGCAGTAAGTTTTTATTGGTGGAGGAAGCTGGAGGGAAGCATCGACCTTCCGGGTAGTAAAACTGACAGTCCTTTAGTCAACTATGTCAACCAGGTTAGGGGAGGGTTAGGCGCTCTAAAACATGTTTAACCCTGCCACATTCTTTATGTGCCTGTGTCCAAAGTCAGGAGCCTGTAGTTCAGTGGTTGTCGTTGGTTCATGTCTGTCATATTTGTTTTTCGTAAATTGTTTTGTTATAAATTAGGCCGTTAGTTTTCTCAATTGAATTGTTTCATATTTTTCATGTCGGGGCCTTTTATAACCGACCATACGGTATGGGTTTTTCATTTGAACTTTGGTAGATAGTTGTCTCATTGGCAATCATACCACATGTCCTTATTTTTATATGTGTCCAAGAGTATTCCTATGTTTATTATTTTATTTATTACACTCTAGCATTTTAATTCTTCTCTGATAAGAGTAATCCTCAGTCTACAGTCCCTTTTTATGGCAAAAGTTTGTTTGAAACTTCTACACTGATATCAATCTTTGAACACCACATTCTCTATTTCTTTCACAGATGCATAGGTAATACAGAGGTTCACCGGAAGCCCACTTCAGGCTTTCAAATCTCGTGAAAATTTAAAGATGTGAACCTGACCCTTTGGACTTTATACCTAAAAACCACGAGGATCTATCATGAAACTGTCTTTATGTGTACGCATGAATATAAATTGTGTTATAAGGCATTCATCGTTCTTTTTTCCCTTTCTTTTGTGAAAAGGGGGTCACAGTGGTGTTATTTCTTTAACATTGTATGTTGCCTTTGAAAATTAGTTGGGTGTTGGAAATGCAATATGTCGTTTAATAAAAATGTCTTGTAACTGTATTTTATATATTAGAATAGTTTTTTTCTTTCTTTATGATGATTGGTCAGTGTGTAAACATATTGTAGCAACTACGGCTGCACGCATGTCAGTATCAGATTCATGGCATGCGACAGCACAGAGAGGAGGGGTTGAAAAGGGGCTGCTCATATCTCAAATCTCATGGCTTTTTTCCCATTCCCCCCACTAAATTCCACAATAGAATGAATGTCACCCCCTCAGCAGAGCTATTTATTTATTACTCGAAAGCCGGCGGAACAAAATGTAAAATAAATGAATGAGTTCAACTTTTTGTAAATATGTTTCAGTGCGATCATTTGAATAAAAATGTTATTTTTCAAAATAAATATGAGGGTCTGGATGGGGGTCATTTATATCTTTATTCTTTAATTTTCAGACCATTTTTCTTAATTCTTTACTTAGTTTATACATTATTCATTTATTCTCAGTCTTTATAATTTAAAACCCCATTATTCTCTATTCTTCATTCTATATTTTTGCTTTTTTACTCTGTATTCGAATTCTTTAAGTTTTTTTGTCCTTTATTCTGCACTTTTTGCCATTATTATCTATCATCCTGATTCCATATAATGTATGTGAATACGAAAACCCGGAAATCGTCTCACCGTTACCGTTTTTTATAGCATGATGCAAAATCGAAATCTAAAATTTTTGTTGGTTTATGTTGCTCAGTCTTTAATTTTCTATGTTGTGTTTTGTAGACTAAATTGTCTTTTGATCATTTTTGTTTTGTTTTTTTATCATGTTTATAGCCATGACATTGTAAGTTTGATTTTGACTTATGAGTTTGAATATCCCTTTGTTTCCTCCAGCTCTCTTTCACAGCCAATTTGATTAATTAACATGTACGTAAATACTATGCTTGTTTGTTTCTTTTATTAATCAGTCATTGAGAAAGGAAGAATATAACTGTTTAAATATTTATTTTGATATAATGTGATTTTCAATAGTTTTTAATATACATAGATGTTCATGTATCACTGTACGTAATATTAACCTTAACTTAAGGTATTGTACTTGTTTTAAAATAAAGATAAATTGATAGTTAGTTGCTGCTATAATAAACTTTGCATCTTGTTTTATTTCAGAATCTGCCATGCAAAGAAACTAGTTTGAAGAAGAAAAGAAAAGATGAAGAAATTGACTTATTTTTTGTTACAATATATTTAAAATGTCACATTTATTATACACTTTGCAAATTTTTAAAATATATTCTGCTACCACAGATGAAAATTTATTATCAATCTGATCATGCAATTTTAAGAAAACATGCATGCATAGAAATTGGTTTAAACTTAAGCTGACAGGATGGTTAAGATGTTCTCAACTTAATTATATAATTTGTAAGTGCTCTTATAATCTTTAAAAAAAGCACAGGGTCAAAGAGCAAACTGATGAAAACATTTATTACACAAAACTTGCACCCTATTTCATAAATTTTGCTGAAAAATGACTTAGTTCCCAAGTTCATGTCAATGAATTTGAACAGTCAAAAGCCAAAAGATGGCCCTCGGCAAGAGCAGAGCTATACTCCTACACCTGTAATTTATTTAATGCCACTAATCATTTGAGTTGTCAATAACAGAGTAAAGCTAGATTTCTCTTAAACTATACTTAAATTTTACTTAAAGAAACTCTTAGAAAAAAATATTCTATTGTTAAAATCTTTTTAAAAAAAATTATCGCTATTTGCTTTATTACCGTATATGGAATTTAAGAAATATATCTATCACCTATAATACTTAAAGTCTTACTTTGACAGCCTGACTGTATGGGCCAATATTTGCTGGTGCCCAATGAGAGATACTCTGTACATGCATGGTATGTTTATCATCATCACAAGAACCGTAACATTCCAACTGCAACACAATATTTTCAGGCAGAGGTACTTGCACACATACCCTGAAAGATATTAATAAAGAAATCTATATTTCTAAGTGACAAGAAGTATTGCTGTGCTATGTCTTCATCAAAGTTCTATATGTATCAACTATAACTATTAACAAAATTATATTAAATATATGCTGTTTAAGTTCTTAGTATTAACCTACATTTAATTCCACAAGAATTCAATTCATTAGGACCAAACAATATAAAATTTGTCATCACGAAGAATTCTTCCATGAAATTATACAGATATATGTATTTTAACAGATGCATCCTAAAAAATGCAAGATATTGAAACAAGAGGATCCTAAGAACCTGATTACTGGCTAATTTATGCCAATTACATTCACTACAAACTGCTCAGAGTCTGAAAAGACCAGTTTTTGTGCTCGACCAGTAAAGTCGAGCACACATTTTACTCGACTAGTCTCGACATTGTCTCAACAGTACTTAACTGTACTTAATTGTACTCGACTAGGTCTCGACTTTACTTAATTAGTCTGATTCAGTACTTGATGATCTTGGTGTAGTCTGAAAAGGTCTCGACCAAGGCTCGACCAGTCTCGACCTGTCTCAACCAGTCTCGACCTGTCTTGACTAGTCTCGACTCAGTCTGAACCAGTCTCGACCTGTCTCGACTAGTCTGGACCTTCAAATTTAGTCTTCACTGGTATAAATCAGCCCATCTAACTAAATTAAATAATGATCTTACAAAATTCCAGTTTATTTTTTAGTTTGATTCATTGCTGTGAAATGAAAGAATTTAATTTATAGGTAAAAAAAAAAAAAGATTAAATTCAGATAGGCATCATTAATTTTTTTTACAACTTTTTCAAATCAACTTGGATTTTCATCTAACTATACAGCTACCTTGGTAATATATTAATCTTACTAGTCCCAGGTTGTTAAGAAGTTTGGTGTATTGCTGTCAAATTTAAGAATTAAATTAATCTAGGTCAAAAAAGCTAGGATTTGAAGTTCGGACAAAATAGAGATAGTACACTTTAATTTTTTTTATAACTTTTTCAAATCAACTAGGATTTTCATCAAACTATACAGCTATCTTAGTAATATATTGATCTTACTGAATCATAGGTCATTATGTAGTTTGGTGTATTGCTGTCAAATTTAAGGATTAAATTAATCTAGGTAAAAAAAGCTAGAATTTGCAGTTTGGACTATATTCAGATAGTACACTTTAAATGTTTTTATAACTTTTTCAAATCAACTTGGATTTTCATCAAACTATACAGCTACCTTGGTAATATATTGATCTTACTGAATCAAAGGTCATTATGTAGTTTGGTGTATTGCTGTCAAATTTAATCTAGGTCAAAAAAGCTAGGATTTGCAATTTTGGACAAAATTCAGATAGTACACTTTAATTTTTTTTATAACTTTTTCAAATCAACTAGGATTTTCATCAAACTATACAGCTATCTTAGTAATATATTGATCTTACTGAATCATAGGTCATTATGTAGTTTGGTGTATTGCTGTCAAATTTAAGGATTAAATTAATCTAGGTCAAAAAAGCTTGAATTTGCATTTCGGACTATATTCAGATAGTACACTTTAAATGTTTTTATAACTTTTTCAAATCAACTTGGATTTTCATCAAACTATACAGCTACCTTGGTAATATATTGATCTTACTAAATCAAAGGTCATTATGTAGTTTAGGGTATTGCTGTCAAATTTAATCTAGGTCAAAAAAGCTAGGATTTGCAATTCTGGACAAAATTCAGATAGTACACTTTAATTTTTTTTATAACTTTTTCAAATCAACTTGGATTTTCATCAAACTATGCAGCTATATTAGTAATATATTGATCTTACCGAATCACAGGTCATTATGTAGTTTGGTGTATTGCTGTCAAATTTAAGAATTAAATTAATCTAGGTAAAAAAAGATTGAATTTGCAGTTCGGACTATATTCAGATAGTACACTTTAATCAGAGTTCGCAAAAATGGTCGGTCTTGTCGGTCCTGTTGGTCAAAATGAGGCTCTGACCAGAAGGCTAGTGCCGGTCCCGATGACCGATGTAAAAATGGCCGTTGTAGTGCATATTTCGGCACTTTTTTACATCGGTTATTAGATGTACCGCAACTGTTTCCAATAAGTGTTTACATCGGTTATCAGATGTACCCGCTGCAAATTTTCAGTACTGGTTTACAGATTTATTATAAACAAACCGACGGGTCAAAATAAGTTTTCGCGAACTCTGCTTTAATTTTTTTTATAACTTTATCAAATCAACTAGGATTTTCATCAAACTATACAGCTATCTTAGTAATATATTGATCTTACTGAATCATAGGTCATTATGTAGTTTGGTGTATTGCTGTCAAATTTAAGGATTAAATTAATCTAGGTCAAAAAAGCTAGAATTTGCAGTTTGGACTATATTCAGATAGTACACTTTAAATGTTTTTATAACTTTTTCAAATCAACTTGGATTTTCATCAAACTATACAGCTACCTTGGTAATATATTGATCTTACTGAATCAAAGGTCATTATGTAGTTTGGTGTATTGCTGTCAAATTTAATCTAGGTCAAAAAAGCTAGGATTTGTAATTTTGGACAAAATTCAGATAGTACACTTTAATTTTTTTTTATAACTTTTTCAAATCAACTTGGATTTTCATCAAACTATACAGCTACCTTGGTAATATATTGATCTTACCGAATCACAGGTCATTATGCAGTTTGGTGTATTGCTGTCAAATTTAAGAATTAAATTAATCTAGGTCAAAAAAGATTGAACTTGCAGTTCGGACTATATTCAGATAGTACACTTTAATCAGAGTTCGCGAAAATGGTCGGTCTTGTCGGTCCTGTTGGTCAAAATGAGGCTCGGACCAGTATTTTGAAGGCTAGTGCCGGTCCCGATGACCGATGTAAAAATGGCCGTTGTAGTGCATATTTTGGCACTTTTTTACATCGGTTATTAGATGTACCGCAACTGTTTCCAATAAGTGTTTACATCGGTTATCAGATGTACCCGCTGCAAATTTTCGGTACTGGTTTACAGATTTATTATAAACAAACCGACAGGTCAAAATAAGTTTTCGCGAACTCTGCTTTAATTTTTTTTATAACTTTATCAAATCAACTAGGATTTTCATCAAACTATACAGCTATCTTAGTAATATATTGATCTTACTGAATCATAGGTCATTATGTAGTTTGGTGTATTGCTGTCAAATTTAAGGATTAAATTAATCTAGGTCAAAAAAGCTTGAATTTGCAGTTCAGACTATATTCAGATAGTACACTTTAATTCTTTTTTTCATAACTTTTTCAAATCAACTTATATTTTCATCTAGCTATACAGCTACCTTGGTAATATATTAATCTTACTGAATCCCAGGTTGTTAAGAAGTTTGGTGTATTGCTGTCAAATTTAAGAATTAAATTAATCTAGGTCCAAAAAGCTAGGATTTGCAGTTCAAACAAAATAGAGATAGTACACTTCAATTTTTTTTATAACTTTTTCAAATCAACTAGGATTTTCATCAAACTATACAGCTATCTTAGTAATATATTGATCTTACTGAATCATAGGTCATTATGTTGTTTGGTGTATTGCTGTCAAATTTAAGGATTAAATTAATCTAGGTCCAAAAAGCTAGAATTTGCAATTCGGAATATATTCAGATAGTACACTTTAGATTTTTTCAAAGCAACTGGGATTTTCATCCAAATCTATAGCTATCTTTATTACATATTATTCTTACAAAAAACAGGTTATTTGGTAATTTGGTTTATTGCTGTCAAATTTAAATATCTAAATTATAGGTATCTATCTGAATTTTGTCAAAACTGAAAGTTTTAGCCTTTTTTTACCTATTAATATGTCATTAAATTTGACAGTAATACACCAATATACAAAACAACCTGACCTATGATTCAGTAATATCAATATATTACTAAGATAGCTGTATAGTTTGATGAAAATCCTAGTTGATTTGAAAAAGTTATAAAAAAAATTAAAGTGTACTATCTGAATTTTGTCCGAAATTGCAAATCCTAGCTTTTTTTACCTAGGTTAATTTGAATCTTAAATTTAACAGCTATACACCAAACTACATAACAACCTGGGATTCAGTAAGATCAATATATTACTAAGATAGTTGTATAGTTTGATGAAAATCCAAGTTGATTTGAAAAAGTTACAAAAAAAATTAAAGTGTACTGTCTGAATTTTGTCCGAAATGCAAATTCTAGCTTTTTTTACCTAGATTAATTTAAATCTTAAATTTGACAGCAATACATCAAACTACATAATGACCTGGGATTCAGTAAGATCAATATATTACTAAGATAGCTTCATAGTTTGATGAAAATCCAAGTTGATTTGAAAAAGTTATAAAAAAAATTAAAGATGCCTATTTGAATTTAATCTTTTTTTTACCTATTAATTAAATTCTTTCATTTCACAGCAATGAATCAAACTACCAAATAGACTGGTATTTTGTAAGATCTATGTATAATTTAGTTAGATGAGCTGATTTACACCAGTGAAGACTAAATTTGAAGGTCCAGACTAGTCGAGACAGGTCGAGACTGGTTGAGACTGAGTCGAGACTAGTCGAGACTTGTTGAGACCTTTTCAGACTACGCCAAGATCATCAAGTACTGAATCAGACTAATTAAGTAAAGTCGAGACCTAGTCGAGTACAATTAAGTACAGTTAAGTACTGTTGAGACAATGTCGAGACTAGTCGAGTAAAATGTGTGCTCGACTTTACTGGTCGAGCACAAAAACTGGTCTTTCAGACTCGGAGCAGTTTGTAGTGATTTCTATTTCACCTTTTTTAAGCATACCAACATTTTTTCAGAGACAAATAAATACAGCTATATGAATTCATTCAAGTTATTTGTAAGTCTTATATTAAAAAGAAATTCAGTAGCAGGACTACATTAGTTATTTACATAAAGACCAGAGAACACATTCATTCATAAACTCTTCCAAGTAAATTTAAAAGATATTTCCAGTCTATCTATA